TTGGGCGCGGCCGATGCCGCGCCGCCGCCGCCTCCCACCAAGTTTGCTGTGGCCGCCGCACCGGACGGCGCCGGCGCGGAGCCGGACAACACCACGAGCACGACGAGCTCGCCGTCGTTGCAAGTCTCGCTTCCCCCGCCCCCGCCGCAAGTGACGCCGCGGTTGCCGCTCAGCGTCTTAACGCCACTCAACGGGTCGTGCTCGCCGCATCCGTGGTACATGTTCAACGTCGCCGCTTTGGGATGCAGCACAACCGAGGGTCGGCAGTCGACGAAGCTGGCGGCCCGAAACGCGCTCATCGCCACGGCCGCCCAGACCGGCGCTGCCGCGGCTGGCGTCGCCGGGACCGCCGCCATGGCATACTTTGCAAGTGGCGACGTGGGTAGCGACGAGGGCAGCTGCTCGACGGATGACATGGACAACGACAAATGCTCATCCTTTCCATTGAAGTACCCCGGCCGCCCAATGAAAGATGCAATCGTGGCGCACATGCGCACAGGCGGCTTCATGGGCCCCGCGCTGCCCAAGGCCCGCCAGGGCAAGGACAGGCCTCAGCTGTCGAAGATTGAGGACGTATACGATCGATTCGAAAAGCTGAAGGACGTCAGCCTCGACAAAAGGCAGCTTGGTCAGGCACTCCGCAAGCCGTCACGGCGCCGCGCCAACGGGATGGGCGGCTTTAAAGCCGACTGTGAGGATGGCGACGGCTGGCTCTGCGTACAACTAGAAAAAGTCGACTGGGCCGAGGCGTTCCAGTACGCGCAGCAGCGATACTCGCTGATGACGGCGCCAGAGCTTGGCCGCCTCTACTACCAGAACATGCTCAAGGAGCGGCGGTTCGACGGCTGGGACGACGACGCGTCGAAGCGAGCGCCCGTCTACAAGTTCCCGAAGTGCGCGTTCGGCTTGTCGGTGACAAAGATCGCTGAAAGGCAGGAGTGGCTATCACGGTCGCAACACGAGGCCGACCGGGCCGTCACGGCCCGTGAGAGCATCGACAACAAGGCCTACCTGGAGCTGGTACAGGAGAGCTTTGAGAATCCTGCGCCCGGTGCGGCAAAAAAGCGCAAGGTGCACGCTAACATGGTGCCCGATGGCGAGGTCGGGACGCTGACTATCTACGACCGAATGGGGCCATGGCAATGCGAGTTTTCATCGCTGCGCTTCTCGGATTGGGGCCATTCGGTTCGTGCCAACCCTGCTTACAAGGAGGGATCCACCCAGGAAAACGAGAAGAAGAAGACCATCACTGCGGGACGCGTCGAGCCAAACTCGTTGCCCTCATGCATGCTCAAATATATCGAGGATCCGGACACTGATGCGTATGCTACGTACCGCGATCTTTCGTCCGATGAGCGCAAATCCAGGGTGTTCCAGACACTGAATAACATGAAGAGGAAAAGTGATTTGGGCAAGCCAGCTGCCGGGACTCACGGCATGGAAGGAAAGGTACGCAAGTCCAGCTGCGAGGGAGCCGCAACGATGTTCAACTGTGGCTTCACGGTCGACATTGGTGCAATAACGGTCATGTATCGCGATCTGCATTAGTCGTGAGTAGTCGTAATACTGTCGCTTGTTGTACGCAGAGGTTAGGCCACCGTGTTGCAAACGGGCGCCTGTGCTAGCCATGTAGAGCGAGCGCGAGGGCGCGCCGGAGGGAGCACTCGAACTGCATGTTCCGTGTTACACTCAGAAGAGATGAGTCACTATGCATGTCTGTTTTCTTTCTTTCTTTGTTTAAAGGCGAGGGAGAGATTTTTAGCAATACCAAACAACTCTAACACTCACACGTCATTTGGGGCCTGCCCTGTTCACGCGCGCGCGAGACGTGCATGCGAGTTTGCCGTTGACCACGTGCGGAGCGTCGAGCGGGTCGGTGCCGTGCTTCCGGTGCTCTCGTGCTTGAGTGAGAGGGGCGGCGGCGCCCTGCATGCGCCAGATTCGCACCCAAAGCACCAGTGCTTGCGCCGGGTGCTCCCACGACGCGTCGGGCCGCCCGGCGTGCCCTGACCGGCGTCAGCCTCGGCCACGCCCTCTGGCCAGAGCTGGCCAGCGCCGCTGTAGCTGCCACAGTCATCGTAACCACCGCCGCCGTCATAGCCGCCGCCGCCCTCATGGCCGCCGCCGCCCTCGAAGCCGCCCGCCCCGCCCTGTTCCCCGCCCGCTTCGAATGGCTGATCCTCGTCGATGCTTGGGATGTTGCGCGAGCGGGCCTGGGCGCGACGAGCGCGTAGCCAGGCGGGCTCTGGCGCGCGAATCTCCTTTGGCAGGAATCCGCGCATCTCCTCGCGAGCGTTGCAATTCTCCGCATGGCAATACTGCTTGAGCGAGCGGCACGCGGTGTTGGAGGTCCACACGTTGCCGCAGTCACCGCACTCGAAGAGCCCCTTGCCGCGCTCCTCCGCCGCTGGGATTGCAATGTAGCGGGTGCCGACGCCGTTCACCACCGGGCAACGCCTGCAACGAGCGACGCAGAGTCCGTTGCGCTTGGGCGCCACCTTCTTCCAAAAG